CATTGCTTTTTTGCCCGACATTGGTTATTCCATTTTTCTGTTTAGGTAAGGAAATATCTTTGAAACAATGGGGCGTAGGGTGTTTAATTTTATACAAAGATGTCTCATCCTACAGATAGTTCATTCTGAAAAGTGCTGTACATTCAATAAAAGGAGCAATGGCAATTTGAGATTAAAGTCCTGCATTTTGCTAGCATTATCAGAATCTATTATTCCTAAAAGTACTGAATTTCTGGTACAAACTGAAGTTACTGGTAACTTCTATAATTTATTAAAAATGACTATCTGCTGTAATCCTCAATAGTTATGTGGAAGAAAGGTCCCTGAATAATGTAGAGAGTATTTCCAAAATGTAATAAAAAATCCCAGAAGGGCAACCAATTTAATCCACAGTAGGAAAATACATATTTTATAGCATATTACAAATTTTAAAAATGGTAGAAACATTCACCCATTAGAGTCCATTTTATCAAACATGGAAAATATATAAAGGGCTTGGCTTTCAAATTAATTTAAACTTTCCCCTTGTTTTTACTGAGTAAATGTAGCACCTCATCTTTGTAATAAAATGCAAAGGAGATTTCACAAGCCTCGACATTTTCATTTATCTATATACTATCCATAACAACAGTGTACTGGAGTAATAATAAAGAAATGGAGGCCAAGGGGAATGAAGCCTCTCTGTTAAGTGAACTCTCAATTAACTGCTAAGTGAACTTTCAATGTCCGTTGAGGAAGTAGGAAGGGAGTTATAGATTATTTTTTATACAAATAATCACAATATTTTATCAGGTTAATTCTGAGAATAGTTTCACTTCTATCTTGAGGAATATACAGTGATATCTCGGTAGTCATCATTAATTGGTTCCAGGAGGCAGGATGAGTACCAAAAACGATGAGTATCAAACAATTTTTTCCCATAAGGAATAATGTAATGAATCATAAGGCAGCCAATACCGACAAGTTCTAGCGTGTGTGTTGAGTATCAAAGAAACGATGAGTACCAGGACAAAATTTTCACATCAAAATGCATTGAGTACCAAATTCGATGAGTTTCAAAGCAGTTGAGTACCAAGGTTATCACTGTATGTGGATAGGTAATGTGGAAGAGAGACATTGGTTGTATTCCATAGCATTTATACTTTGGGATCCTACACGTTTTTACTTTTTAATAGCAATGCATTGCCATCAAGGGCATGAGGTGCCTTCTACTTGGATACCATGTCACCTCTCTCTTTGATATCTGAATCAAAGGAAGGTTTAACAAATAGCTGAAATTGGCATTGAAATTTAAGCAAGCACTACTACCTGCTCAATTCTAAACTCTAGTACTAACTTTAAAACCCTGGCAGTTTGGGTACCAAATATATGAAACTTTTCCGGCATAGCTTATACTTTAAGTTCCAAAGAGGTCCCTTCTCAAAATGTCTTTATTTAATAACAACTAAGGTGATATGACATCACCTTTATGGAAGACTGTCTCCATAGTAGTTGAGGCCAGCTTCACCCTCATTTTGTTCCAGATGAAAACCTATTTATTAGTCAGCAAATTTAAAATAATCTAATCTTCTGTATTTGGTTCTCCTTGTATATATTTCTATTACTATATTTTATTACATGTTGCAGTAATAGCTATTACTGATGTATTAACAAAAAGAAAGTTCTTGCTTATATTTACATATTTACTATGTGCTGTTTGTACAGGACCAGTGGTGCATGCAAAGCACAATTTGTTCAGACTGTAGAGGGTTGAGTGTAAAACTATTGTATGGGTAGGTACAAGTATGGCATGTTCTTCATATAATTGCTGGTTTGGTCCACTGCACTAGCTATGGTCTTCTCAATAATACAAATAACGCAAAATTATTTATACATGGCGCAAACCACAAAAGCTAGATTCATACAGTATGATTCTAAGTTAAAATTAAGCAAACCGTATAATGTATGAATCTAGCTTTTCCTGGAAAGGAGGGGGGGAATAGCAGAGGTAGATGGCATTAAGCTCAGATTTCAACATATGAATAATAGCCTTCCCCCTCCTGCTTACCAAATTGAAAGGCCCTGTGGTAAAGGAAACTGAAAGCAAGAAATTAAGGTTTTTTGCAACTGGCTCATGACTACTAAGAAAGAATAAATAAAAGGCAGAAAATTGAAATCCACTCTTCATTATCTTCTGACAGATGATTCTATTGATGGAGTACTTTGTGTGCAAAGTACTCCATCATTTGTGCTCTAGCTAAAGGGAAGAGCAGAATGGTGTAGTCTGATGCTAGGCAGTGATCTACAATATGGATATTGCAGTATTACTGCTGCAGACTTGCCAGTAGCACTTCTCAGATCTACTGATTATTGAGAAAGGAACAGGGGTGGTGGTGAAAATGCTTAGGGCCACACCACTTTTCACAGTGTACTAACTAGAAAAAAAATACTCTAGCATTAAGTTTACTTATATACCACTATGTTAGACATCCACAGTCCCTTTGTTTTGAGCAAGAGAGTAATTTGCTTATTTTATTAGTTTATGCGTTCAACAGAACAGATATGGCGCCCAGGAAATGAGTAATAAACTTTAAGAGAAGGAAGGATTCCCTGATTTGCACAAGGCAAATAGGCACAGGGCCAAAAATAAATAGTGCAATTTGATGTATGCCCTGCTAAAATATAAGCTCTACTAAGCTTAGTGAGACTTAGTAGATGATCTCAGGTTTTTATTTAATACAGGGACAGCATCTTCAGTTTCTTGGTTATTTTAATCATTGTTTTTAAATACGTGACACAGATTAAACATTTTGATGATGCATTACTATAAACCACTTGCTAAGAATAGATCGACAGGAGGAAACTTTTTATTGTGAATGTTCAGTGACTACTCATTATACAGGTTCTAAAAAGTTCTAATAGTTACTCAGCAGGCTCCTGAAATGGGTAATTACTTACTATTGGCTGTTAGCATACAGCTACCTAGCATGATACATACTTTGTGCCAAACCACACTGTACTTCAGCCTTTATTACACAAATTCACACAGCTAAAGATTTATCAGTCCATAGAGGCAGCATAAGTGTGTTTTATAGAAGGCAAAGTTCAGTATCACCAATAAGCAATTATGAATGTAGAAAATCTCCTTCAATGACTCTCATAAAAAGGCCATGCAGATCCATATTTACCTTGACAAGAATATATAACTCAAACAGAGGTCTCTAGAGATAGCAAAATTAGTTACAGCAGCAGAAAGTCTAGGGATTATAAACCAGCTCTACAATATGTCTACAACTTGGTGCCCATTAATTTCCAAACTGCACAACACCTGCAGGAAGGAAGGACAGAGATGGCTATCTATGCTATTACTGTACAAAAGACAGTAAACTTCAAAGGGTTAATGAGAGTTCACTTTGTTCACATCATATAGAAAGACATCCTACATTCTTTGGGTGACAATCCTTACAGTGCCAAAATATCATTGTGTCTGTGCAAAAGGGAAAATATCTAAAGACTGAAAGTATCTTGAGAGAGAAACAGAAGTACTGAGAAAAGATATTAGTGGGGACCACTCAAACAACCGTTTAAAAAACAGTGGATCCAACCACATGCAGCTGAAATGTTAAGCACATTTATAGAGGAAGCTTACTTATTTAAACAGCACATGCTGCAAAGCTAAAATGTTTATTTTTGAAGAGCTGTGGGTGTTGGTTTAGTTAGTATATGCTTCCTAATAATTTTAGGGTAAATCCTCCCACCTTCCTTCAACAGATAATAGTATAATATCAAGATCTTAGTAAGGCTTAAATTTGACTTGCATCAGAAACACAATTTTCTGAGTTTTTGTGTTGATTCAAAAATGCTCTGAAGCAGCAATTTTATGGTGAATTTAATGTGTTCACACTCAACTATAATTATAAGCTATTATGAGCTCAGATGAGCTCTGGTATGTTTGATGGTGAGTGGATTGTTTATCACTGGGTGCTGGAGGATATCTATGCGGGGTTTTGTGTTTTAATCCTGTACATCTCCCAGAGTCACTTAAGTGAGATGAACAGGCATATAAATAAAAAAAAACGCATAAGGGCTTCTGATGCACCTACCAGTCCCATTTCTACATATGGACTCCTTTTTTTAAAAAAAAAAAAAGTATAGTATTATTGTCGTTAATTATTTATTTATTTTAAACTTATATGCCTCCCTTCTCCCTATAGGACTCAGGGCGGCTCACAGCATATTAAAACACACAAACGCCATTCCCCATAAAACCAATTAAAAACCAAATATTTGTCGCTGTATAGTTAATTAAGATTCGAATTAAAATTATCCCTATTTAAAATTATTAACTATTAATTACTTCATTATAAAACGGGGGTCACTCCCGTTTGTCGGAAAGGGTAACCAGGACGGTAATATTTTCGTCGCATTATTTTCTTTCACCCTTTCAGATCACAAAATTAAAGGAAACGGGCCAGCGACCGGTAATCAACACTTATTGGTAAATTACAACATGCACTGCCCGCCCAAACCCAACGATTCTGCAACGGAGCGGCTGCGATAGCGCCGCTCGCCTCTCTCTGATCGGGAAAAAGGCTGACATGAGCGACGAAAAGCGACTAACGCCGCTTTTTCCAGAGTTACGGACTTCCTTGCCCTCGGCAGAAATCTCTCTCTCGGCTCCGCCGCTTCTCCGCTGAGAGATTTCGCGCGTTTTTGCTTTCGGTCGGGGTCGCGATTTTCGACAAGCCTCCGCGCGCAGATGCTCCCCGGGGTGTGTGTGTGTCTGTCGAAGGCACAGCCTTCCCTAACCTCGCGTCCCGAGTGCGATGGACAACTCCTACCATCTCCAGCCGTGGGTCGTGCGGGACTAGGCGCGATGGGAGTTGTAGTCCGGCCCCACAGATCTGAGGACACCGCTGGGTGGAAAGGAAAACAACCAAGAGGCAGGGGCGATGCATGCAGCGGCTCCCTCGCCTAATCGTTGGACTTTCGCGCTCCCCCAGCCTGCCTTTTCCACTCACCGCCACGGAACCAGTGGAAGACGCGACGAAAACCCGAATGACCATCTTCCCTTCTTTCCTCCCTGCCTACATGCGCTTCACGGCAGCTCCCTCTGCCGAAGTCTAGAAGCTGCGGAGCCTTCCGCGCCTCCGAGGGGCGCCGCTTCGCCTAGAGTCTGCCTAGCCTGCCTCGTTCCTAAGCCCTTCCGCCCTACGAGCCCGCGATCGCAGGGCGCGCCGCAGATAAGCAGGGCTGCGAGTGACTCCGAGATGCGGCAGGAATCCGAAGATA